GCTCCAGCGGGCCGGCCCCGCCTCCCCGCCCGCCCCAGTCCGCGCTGTGCTGCGGGGTCTGCGGCTCCTGCCTGCCCCCCACGTCCCTCCCCGACACGGCGGGGGCGGGGGGGGCTGGGAAACGGCCGCATCTCAGCGGGTGAGCACCTTTCAGGCCGACGTCTCTCGGGTGGAAGAGACAGTCGAAAGTTTCCTGTGTCCTCTGAGGCCCGAGCTCCAGAGGCTAAGCGCTCAGTACGCAGCTCTCTAAGTAAATCGTGACTACTTTATTGGCTGGACTGTGCGGGGCTCGTGGCTGTCAGCGGGTTCAGGGGTTACCACCAACACACAGTAGGTGCGCAGGGGCTCTGTCTCTGGAGCCGGACAGCTTTGGTTTGAATCTTAGTTTCTCTCTTTTCTTGCTGCGCGACCTTGCGCAAAAAGTGCACATCCTCTCCGTGGGTGCCTCAGTTACCGTGAGGAGTGAGTGAGCGCATGTAGCAAGCTTAGCACAGGCCTTCCTGCAGGTCAAAAACTGTCTGGAGAGGAACTGTCCACGACCCTGTCACACAGACATATGAACACGGTGACGGCTGCCCTGGTGCTGAGTCCTCGTGTGCTCTCCTGGTCTGTGAGTGCATTTGCGTGCAGGGCATGTGCCCACGGGGGTGACTGAGTGTCCTCCTGACTGTGATCGCGGTTTGGGTGCCCTGTCCGTGTTCGAGGAAGCATGGCCAGCCCCTAGGACACCCGATGCTCAGCGTGTGCAGACCAGCGTGGCCGGTCATTGCACGTCTGGCCGCTCACACGATGCTCCCCGCCAGCCAGGGTAGCAAGAACATCTGAACTTCATAGCCATCTGGGCCTGATCGTCACGCGAGAGGGCACCTTTCAGGGTCAGGGGCTTGCGGCCTGGCGGGAACCGGATGGCGAAGCTGGTGGGGTTGAGGAGGAGGAGAGCCTCCGGGTGGCCGGGGTGGCGGGTACAGCGGCCGTGGCCGGAGCACAGAGCTTGACTGCAGAGGAGAGCCCCGCTGGTCACATTCAGGGTGAAGGGCCCCAGTGTGGTATCCATGTAGTCCTTGATGGCCTGGCACGATTCCTGGGTGGGAAGGGGAGCGTCAGGGACACATGCTTGGGCCCACCTAGGGCACTGAGACACTGCCCTGCTGCCAGCCAGGACTTCAGAGGTGGAAGGGTGGCCCCAGGTTGCCTCAGTCAGCTTGATGGACCTGCATCCCCCACCCCCACCACCTGGGCTTACCTTGGAATTTGTGTCTTCTGAGCTCACCCAGAACACCACTCCTGCTGCCCCCTGAGCTGCGCTCTCCCCCAGGGTGTGCTCCAGCTCCTCCTGGAAAGGAGACGTTTCAGCTCTGTGGGGCCTCCTTCCTCCTCCTTCCACCACCATGGGATGGGGTGAATAATTTATACCCCCCACCTGAGCTTGCCCTGGTGGCCAGCGGCAAGCCCGCCCCCCTATAGCTGTACACGCCACACAGACCAGGACCAAATCTAAAAAGTGCTGAATGAGTTGTGCTTAGCGCACAACTTCGCATAAGGTACATGTTGAACAAATGTGAGAACGAACGGATGAAACTGCCCCAAGGCTCTGTGGTCTCACTTGTTGGACCTCATGCCTACCAAGGCCGGCAGTAGAGATGGGCGGGGTCACGGAAGACTCACCAGGGGCAGAAGGTGGTTTGTGGTGTCGTAGAAGATCTGGGTGTAGGGCAGCACCGGGAGACGGGGATCCCTGGAAGCCCTGGCCACACGGAATGCCTCAGCCACACGGTGTCGCACATACCTCTGTGTCTTCCCTGTGCCCGAGAGGGCCGCAGGTAGGTAGATGCTGGGGTAGAGGGCGCGGCTCTGGTTCCACAGCCACCCCAGCTGGTCATTCTCGGTAGGGATGCCTAATGGACACTGGCCTGTGTAGTTGGGACTTTCAAAGTTGTAGTTGTAGCAGTCGGGGAAGCCATAGAAGCCCCAGAGGCCACGAGGACGCAGCGCCTGTCCTAACTGGAGGGTGCCCGCCATCCAGGCCCGTGCAGCCTGCTGGAACTGCTCCTTGGCTACTGTCTTCACCTGACTTTCGGGCCAGTCAGGGTGTTGTGCCTGAACCAGCGCCTGTGAGCGCTGCCGGTAAATATCCTTGGTGTCCCAGTTGAAGGCCCAGCGTGGGCGCCACGCCTCCCAGTCAATGACCGCCAGCCCTGAGAAGTCAGGGGCAGGCACGGCAGCCTGGATGTCGCGGAATGAGCAGGCCAGGTGTTCCCCCAGGCTGGCATTCTGTGGCAGCCCACCAAACACGGGCTCCCCAGTGGCTGTGTAGTAGGGGTAGGTGCCCAGCTTTGAGCTGTAGAAAATGGTCATGTTAGGGCCGAGAAAGGTCTGCCCAGGGTTGGCGACCACATCAAAGACACTGACGTCCACGTCCACGCCGTAGTTCTCCAGGCACCGCTGGGTGTCTGCGTTCCAGACTGTGGCGAAGGGTTGGTTGCTCGGGGCCATGTCCAGCAAGGTCAGGAAGAGGGTACAAATTTGAAGCAGGTGGGCTGTGATGACACAGGGTGCGTCTGGGGAAACCTAGCCAGGGGAGGTACAGTTGAGGGCAGGCTCCGACCCCTGCTCAGTGCAGGTGGCCTGAGCCCTTTGCTCGTACATCTATCCCTGCTCTAGTTTTGTGTGTGCGTGTCGTTTTGAGACAGGGTCTCGCTATGCGGTTCAGGCTGGCCTTGAGCTCACTTTGTAGCCCAGGCTGGCCTCAACTCACAACAACCCTCTTGTCTCAACCTCCTGAGAGGTGGGATTACAGACATGCGCCACCAGACCCGGCTCCTGTCCTAGTTTTAAATATTGACCAGCAGGGCTCAAGTATGGCAGAGGCACAGGGCGGGGAGCACTGCCACCGGAGGGAACGTCTGAGTCTGAGTTGCCTCAGGGGCCAGGCCTCTACTGTTTCCTCCACAAGCTTTGTGCTCCCTAAGTTTACCCACCCCACTTTCCCAAGGGTCAGGGCCAGGGTATTTGCTCTGCTGGATGAGAGAGGCCTTTCCTGTCTCTTCCACTAGAAGTACTGGCAGCCACTGGAAGAAAGGATGTTTGGAGAACGAGAAGAGGTCAGCCCAGCCCTCCTGTACACGACAGTCTGCCCCCTTGTCCCTGCTGACCTCCGGACTGAAGGCCCACATCTTCCACATTCCCTGCCCCAGTGGGTAGGATCCTAGGCAGGTTTTAGCCAGATTCTGTCCCACGCGGTCCCTCAGCTGCTCCAGAAGCTCCCGGAGGAAGAGCTGCTGTTGAAAATTTTGAGCTTGTGTAGGTGGTCACACGACTCAGGCCAGGGCGGGCCTCCGTGGGGGTGGGGCTGGGGCTGGGGCTGGGCCAGCGGGGGCCCCTCCCACTGGCACAGCACTAAGGCAGGGCTTTGTGGCTGGCCTGGAGCTGGCAGTTGGCTCGGGTAGTGACAGGCAGCGGGACAGGCAGGTCTGTGGCTCTGAGGTCTGGGTGCCTGAGGATTATAGTCTCAGAAAATGTACTTTCTCCAGGCTAATAGAGGATGACATTGGCCTTCCCTAGGAACTCTTGCCTTTGTGAACCCCTTCCTCCTAAAATATTTTTTCTATTACCGGGGATTCAATCAGTGAGTGCTGAACTATATCCCCAGCCCTTCTTACTTATTTTGAAATAAGGTCTCACTGAGTCACTAAATTGCCCAGGCTAGGCTTGAACTTGTGGTCCTCCTGCCTCAACCTCCTGAGTAGTTGGGACTATAGATGTGTGCCATTGTATTGAGAGTATTTTAAAATATATTTTACAGCCAGGTATGGTGCTGCAGGTCTGACACTCTGGGAGGCTGAGGAAGGAGATTTGAATTGTCCACGCTGGGCAATTTAGCAACTTAGTGAGACCTGTCTCAAAAAATAAAAAGGGCTGGGAACATAGCTCAGTGTGATGGCCATGGGTCCAATCCTCAGGACTTAAAACATTGTTACAACTGTGCTGGGCGTGGCACACACGCCTGTAATCCCAGCATAGATTCAAAGCCAGCCTGGGCAATTTAATCACTTAGTGAGAACCTGTCTCAAAAATTTTAAATAAGCCAGGTGTAGCGGTCCATATGGGTAATCTCAGCACTTAAAAGGCTGAAGAAAGAGGATCACCGAGTGTTTGAGGCCAACCTGGGCTACATAGTGAATTCAAGGCCAGCCTGAACTATATAGTGAGACCCTCCATCTCAAAAACAAAAACAAAAACAAAATATGTGCCAGGGATGTAGTTCAATACACAGGATTCACTTCTTTATACAAAAAAAAAGAAAGAAAAGAAAAAAAGAAGAAAAGAACCCAATCTGGATTTATTATTATATATTAATTATCAATACTTTTGGTTTTTTTCTTCCAACTAAACAAAAATGAAAACAATTTTGTGGGCCCCTAGACGCACTGTGACCCCGGGCCCTGTCTGTGCTGATTGGCACAGTGTCTCCACGCTCCTTGCTGGAGAGACCCGTTTCTGAAAGGAGCTGTGTTCCTGGAGTCTGTATCACCACCCTTTGTATCTGTGCTGGGTCAGTGATTGTGTCTTTGTGACGCTCTAGCTGGTGACCATCTGGACCCCTGCTTGTACATTCAAGTGTGAGACTCAGTGCCTGGGTTTGTGCATGTGTGAGGTCTTGTGACTGTGTGACAGCTCCCATGTCTGTGTGATCACGGTACGAGTGAGTCTATCGGTGAGCACATACTTATTCATTAACTTGTGGTTTCACTTGTTCCCTGACTCAGAAGCTGGTTGTAGAGACCTGCTGAGTGCTTAAGCCCAGGCTTGCCTGCCAGAGTGGGGCAAGAACGCCCCACGTTCTTGCCCAGGGCGAAAGTGCTGCCTGGACCTGCAGTTATGTATCTAAGCTTAAGCTACTGAACCCTACCTAGGCTGCCGGAGCAGTGACACTATAGGACACATCACAGGTGTGGAAAAGAAACAGATGTTTGCGGAAGGCAACAGCTGAGCTGTGGTGGGTCAAACGTGAGGATCAGAGCTTTGCCCGTCGGGGCTGACAGTTATGTAGGGATCACACCCACGTGGGTCTGGATCACCTATGGGTGTGGGAAGTTACAAGAGTGGGAGCAGTAGCTCAGTTGTACACAGATCACATCTGAGTTGGGGAGACCTTAAGTGTGGGAAGTTGAACCAGGCATGGTGGCACATGCCTAGAACCCCAGCAGTCAGGAGGCTGAGGCAGGAGGACGACCACAAATTGTAGGCCAGACTGGGTTACATGAGGAGACCTTGTCTCAAAAAAAAAAAAAAAGTGTGGGAAGTCACAGGTGTGAAGAAAGACAGGTCACATTTCCTTCCTTACCCTTCCTCTGCCGAGCTCCATCTCATGGCTTTATTCTATGTATTTGTTTTTGGGGTTTTGTTGTTGTTGTTGTTTGTTTTTTGAAACAGGGTCTTACTCTACAGTTCAGGCTAACTGTGAACTCAGTATACATATAGCCCAGGCTGGCTTGGTAACCCTCAGCTATCCTTCTGCTGCAGCCTTCTGAGTGCTGGGATTACAGTGCTGCACCACCACACCTGGCTTTTTTTATTGTTGTTTTTTTTTGTCTTTTTGAGACAGGGTCTCACTATGCAGTTCAGGCTGGCCTTGAACTCACTTTGTAGCCGAGGCTGGTCTCGAACACTCAGGGATCCTCCTGCCTCAGCCTCCCAAGTGCTGGGATTACAGGCGTGTGCCGCAACGCCCGGCTCTCATGGCTTTTTTTGAGACCGGGTCTTGCTAGGTAGCCCAGGCTGGCCTCGAACTTTTAGTGATCCAGTGATCCTCCTGCCTCAGCCTCCTGAGTGCTAGGATTACAGGCGTGCACCACATCTGGCTTCTCTCCAGCCTGGCCTCTCTCATCACTGCCACAAGCAGCTGCAACCATATCACTGCACTCCACGTATGCCTCCTTCCTCACCATGTGAACTTCTATGACTGCTGGGGCGACCACTCAGCACCCCGCTCCACTTTCGCCATCACCACCCACAGGAAGGGATGTCTTCACAATCTCTGTTGGCCTGGATTTGAACATGTCTGTTCTTCCCGTGCTGCTTCCTTTTTTTTTTTTTTGAGACAGGGTCTTGCCATGCAGTTCGGGCTGAAGAACTCACTGTGTAGCCCAGGCTGGCCTTGAACTCTCAGCAATCCTCCTGCCTCAGCCTCCTGAGTGCTGAGATTACAGGTGAGCGCCACCACACCCAGCTGTGCTGCCTCCTTAACCGCTTCACCTCATCCCTGTGAATCTCAAGGGCACTCTCAACTCTGGCGTCTGACGAGGTCTTGGCATCATCTAGGGCACACCTCCTTCTATCAGTCCCAGGAGCACAGGGGTCTTCTTGCTGTGGTTTCGGGTCTCATCTCCAGCACCCAGCCCAGCCCTGGCCCAGGTGTGTGCTCTGTATTTACTGAAGGAGTGAGACAGTTGCTGCCATCAGGCACTCGCCCCCGGGCTGCCCCTGGGCTCTGCCACAGCTGATCCCAAGCCACACCCTAGCAGCCAGAACTCTCTGCTGCAGCTGCGTTCCGACTTCCTCCACCCTTTGATCGCGCTTTGTTCTCTGGCATCAAGCGGCCTCCTCCTTTTAGATCTCACTGTAGAAAGCAGTAGTGGACGCTCCCCCCACCAGTTGTTCAATGCTCAGCACTCTCCTCCCTGCCTCCCTCCCTCCCTTTCTTCCTTCCTGTCTCTGTTTCTTTCTGGCAGTGTTGGGGATTGAACCCAGGGTGCCTTCATGTTTACCTATACCGCCAGCCCTTTAAAAATGTTTATATTTTTTTGAGACAAGGTCTTGCCATGTAGTTCAGACTGGCCTTGAGCTCACTGTATAGCCCAGGCTGGCCTCAAACTTGCAGCAATCCTCCTGCCTCAGCCTCTTGACCGCTGAGATTACAGGTGTGGGCCACCATGTCTGACCAAAGAAAAAGCAACTTTTTTGAGATGGTCTCATCACACTGCTGAATTGTCCAGTCTGGGCTGAAACTTGCAATCCTCCTGCTTCAGCCTCCCAGAGTGCTGGGATTATAGGCCTGTGCCACGATGCCTGGCCTTTTTTTTTTGATGCTGGGGATTGAACCTAGGACTTTGTGCGCGCTAGGCACATGTCCTACCACTGAATCACACTCAGCCCTTCTGTGGCTTCTTAAATCTGTCTCCCCAGAATCAGTGAAACCTACTGAAGGCGGGGCGGTCTGGGTGAATCCTCACTGACACGGGTACCCCCATACGCTAGGGAAGCGCTGTAGCGCTACATCCCCAGCCCCAAAGCTGACCTGAGGGTGTCCCTGCTCTGGGGCTCAGGACGCCTCCCCTCAGCACCATTACTCATCTCCAAGTGTGACAAGGACTGAACCTCAGGCTACCCCAACCTCTTGCCAGCCTCCCTCCCTCCCAGACCCCAAAGGGCTGTGGCCCAGACGGGGAAAGGTGTGTGTGCCAGCGAGCCAGCACTAATGGGCCAGCGAGCAGGGGAGACGCCTTTGTCAGTGGGCAGAGCAGGGAAGACGATGCAGCCACTTCTTCGTGTTTTCCAGGTGAGGGGAGAGGCCTGCCAAGCTGGGAGGCAGGGACAAGGGCAGAAGCACAGCGAGCTCTGCCTCTCACAGGTGGGGCCCAACCCCACTTCCAGGTATAGAGCAAGAGAGGTCTTCAGTGTCTGGGAGCAGTGGCCCCTGCTCCGGCGGGACAGCTGTGGAGTGGGCAGCTTCGGCGCCCTCCTGCTGGTCAGAAGTTCCCAGCAGAGAGCCGGGCGTGGCGGCACACGCCTGTAATCCCAGTACTCGGGAGGCTGAGGCAGGAGGATCATTGCAAGTTTGAGACCAGCCTGGGCTACACAGTGAGCTTAAGGCCAGCCTAAACTGCAGAGTGAGACCCTGTCTCAAAAAGATAAAAAAAAAAAAAAAAAAAAAGAAGTTCCCAGCAGAAAGGGTTGCACAGAGATCAGCCTTAAGACCCTGGGATCTCTCTCACATGTCCTGGTTCAGAAGCAAAAGACCAAGCACTGAAACAGTTGTTTTATATTTAATTTACAAAAGAGACCCCAAAATAATAATAATAATAATAATAATAATAATAATAACAACAAACTATCCAGGGGCAAGGGAGTAGGGTCGGGCCCTCCCCAGCCCAGCTGTGTCCTCCTCCCTTCGGCAGGGAGAGAAAGGGCCTCTTGGGATTTCCCCTCCCCCTTAGAACGGGGGTGTGACAGCTGGCATGGATGTCCTGCTAGGCATCCCGGGGGCTCTGCCCCCTCCAGACTCCAGTTTGTCTTACCCCTACAGGCTCCTTGGTGTCCAGGA